CAGCAACAGCAGCAGCAGCAGCAGTAACCGCAGCAGCAGCAACAGCAGCAGCAGCAGTAGTAAGGACAGCAGCAACAGTAACCGCAGCAACAGCAGCAGCAGCAGCAGCAGCAACAGCAGCAGCAGCAGTAGTAAGGACAGCAGCAACAGCAGCAACAGCAACAATAACAGTAACAACAGCAGCGGCCGCAAGAGCAGCCGCAGCCGCGCTGACTGACGGCTAAGAACCCCAGCATGGCCGGGGCCCCTCCCTGCACTCACCCTTGCCCCCCCTTGTGAACCCAGCTCCCTGGAACCTGGCTGCCAGGACTGGCTTTGTCACTCACTGGCCTCCTGGGTGAATCTTTGTTCTTTGCTGCCTTCATTTTTTTCAGCTGTCAACGGGGCTAATAATGACAGTACCTGTCCCACAGGGTTGTCGCCAGGATTAAATGGGGCAGCTCGGGCGAGGGGCTTCGTAAGCACTAGCTGAAAGCTCTGAGTGAATGTCAGCTACTGTTACCCAATCTTACAGACAAGGAAACAGGCGGAAGAGTGAAATAAGGGGTACATCAGGAAATGCCCGGGGCTCTCTGTGTAACTAGGACGGGCTGTGGGTGCTGGGGAGCTGGAGGGCTTGGGAGGGGGGGCAGGGAGTCCTGTTTTGGTGCCTCTCCCTCAGTGTCGGGGGACATTGGGCCTGGGTCAGCTCTCCTGAGGGACACCTCTGTGTCCCGCGGGCCGCCCCTGCTCATCTTTGCCTGCAGGGGGGCCCTTTAGCAGCCCAGCCTTGGGTTCACCTCCCCACTCTCCTCTGTAGCCGTGAGCCTCACACAGATCTGTCTTCCATCTTTGAAAGGTGAGCTGGGTTATGGAATACAGAAAACAGAAAAGCGCAAATCTTCAGAGAAGTGTTTGTAGATCACATGAAGAGAAGGCATGTAAACCAACAACAGGAATAATCTTTGTGACATGTCCTTCGCCTGATGAACCAGCCTGATGGGAAGCCTCTTACAAGTAGACGTTTGTGTGTCTATCACGGAGCTGCGCTTCCCTATCTCAAAACCATTCAGAATATATTTTAAAATTTGATTTCCACTCAGTTGTCTAGTTACCTGTTTTACAAAGCAGCTATGAAAACTATGGATAATACGGTGGCTATTGGACATTTCCAAAGTGCCAGGCACTTTCCATGCATGTATCTCATTACAAAAATCCAGTGAGTAGAAACCATTGTCCCCATTTACAGATGAAAAAACCAAGGCTTATAAGAGTTAAGGCCGCATGATGGGAAATGTCAAGACCTGGCCTATCAGACTCTAGAGCTCATGCCCCTGCCCACCACACCTTACCGCCTTCCCAGCAGGGGAGCTGGCTGCACAAGCCTGGAGAGCCCATGATTAGCGATGCTGTAGAAGGAACTCAGCATTTAGTCCCCAGCTATATGGGGAGCACCCGGTCTGTGCATGCCAGGTACTGTGCTGAGTCCTGGGGAGACGGCAGTAAATGGGGCACAGTCTGTCTTCAAGGGGAGGCTCGTGTGCATGGGAAGCTTCCCTGAGATAGGAGTACAGGGGGGCAGATGGGCTAGATCAAGGATCTCAAGCTCAAATGTCTGCAAGCACCAGGCAGAAAAAACAAATGTGCTAGGCACGAGATAACGGGGAATGTGGCACTGTGGCCTCCTCCAGCAGACACGCCCTTCCAAACCCTCAGTCCCCTCTCAGCTCCTGCAAGCCATCAGCAAGAGGAAATGCCTGTGTGGGTTACCAAATCCTCTGAATTGTTTTTTCTTTAAGAGATCCTGGAAATCCAGTTTATGTGAAATTTCCCACTTTAAAAATACCACGTGGGTCAAGCAGAGCCCTTGAGGCCCTGATATCCTGTGGCTCGCCAGTGAGTGACCTCTGGCTGAGCTCAACGGCCTCTTGTAATGCTGAGCTCCAAGCTCTAGGACAAGCCTCAGACCACAGCGATTCTTCCGCAGCCACATCTGCCCGGGTGCTGAGTATGTTAAATGGGAACAATGTGTAGAATGGATAAAATTCAGTTCAGCTCATGGTGCCAGTAGGCCAGAACTGGAGTATAAATAAAATGAATAAAAACATCTAAGCATATTGCATAAAGAAACTTGTGGACAGTGTGTCCTATGTTTCTCTTCATTAGACTTTCTTAGGTTTAATTTTTGAATAGGTTCGTATGGTCCAAAGTTTGGAAAGTAGAAAAAGGTATGCACTGGAAATCCCTCCCACCTGTGTTCCAAAGCCTCTCATTCCACAAACAGCCAATGTTCTGGTTCTTGCATATTCTTCCAGAGATACAGGTAAAGATAAATATATATATTTACATATATATTTATATATATATATTTACATTTATATAAATAAATGTATATGTATCTACATTTAACACATATATATTTTTTCATTCCTTTTATAGAAATGGCAGAATATATACTTTCTATATTTTCCTTTTTAAAAATTTTTTATTTATTTATAAAGTAGGCTCCATACCCAGCATGGAGCCCAACGTAGGGCTTGAACTCATGACCCCAAGATCAAGACCTGAACTGAGATCAAGAGTCAGATGCTTAACAGACTGAGCCACTCAGGCGTCCCCCTTTTTTAAGTTAGTAATGTATCTTAGAGGACTTTCCTTATCAGTGTGTATAAAGCTGCCTCATTCTTTTTAATGGCTATATGGTATTTTATTGAATGACATACCATAATTTATATAACTGGTCTCCCAATCCATGGGTATTTCGGTTGTTTCCAATCTTTTGTTACATAAAAAATTGTCTTAAATGGTAATCCTGTACATACGTCATTTTGTATGTGTAAATTCCTGGAAGTGTGGAATTGCTAGGTAAAAAGAAATACTCAGGGGCACCTGGATGGCTCAGTTGGTTAAGCGTATGCCTTCAGCTCAGGTCATGATCCTGCGGTCCAGGGATCAAGCCCTGCACCAGGCTCCCTGCTCAGCGGGGAACCTGCTCCCCCCTCTCCTTCTGCCCCTTCCCCCGCTCGTGCTCTTTCTCTATCTATCTCTCAAATAAATAAAGTAAAATCTTTAAAAAAAATAAAAATAAATAGCCATTTTTGATACTCTTGTCATATTGCCATCATAGAGATTTCAGATGTGTACTCCCATTGGCAACGTAGGACGCTGTTTACCTACATTCTTCCCCAACACAGTGTTACCAAGTGGTTTGATCTTCAACAATCTAAGTTGTGAGTAGTACAGTGTTCGTTGGTACTTCTCTCACTATGTAGGAAATGAGAATATTTTCATATCTTTAAGAGCTCTTTTTATTTTCCTTTCACTGAATTATGTGTTCAAATCCTTAGCCCATTTTTTCTTTTGTGCGGTTCCTCTTATGGATTTGTTAGAGCTCCTTATGTATTCAGAAAATTAGCCCCTTGTAGAGGAGCAAAAATTTTCTCCATGTTTGTTATTATTACTTTTTTTTTTAAGCTTATGTTAGTTTTTCAATAGAATTCTTTATTTTTATAAAGGCAAACTTATTGATCTTTTTAAAAATGGGTCCTGGATTTTTTTTGCCGTACTTACAGAGAGACCTTCCCCACTATGAAAGTATAAGGGTACTCTTCTATGGTATGTTCATTATTTTACTGTTTCTTTGTATTTTCTAGTCTTTGATTTTGTGTGAATTGATCTCAATGGATGGTATGAGGTGTAAGTTCAGCCTCATGTTTTTTCCAACTGGCTACAGAATTGGCGCAGACCTGTATGGAGGAATTTCAGCTTCCTACCTCTGCATGTTTTCAGCTTCGTCAATAGTCTCAGGCAAAGCCTTCCCTTTGGTCTCTGGGAGCAGCAACACCAGTCCCCCAGCAACCAAGCCAACCACCGCTGGAAGCCAAACAGATGCAAATTACATTAGGAACTAAAACAGGCAGGCTTTATAATCAGAACTCCCCTTACTTCTTAAAAAAAAAAATTATTTTTTGTGATATTCTATACTTACAGATTTCTTTGCTATCTCTGACTGTCCTATAAATATTTTGCTGATTCCAAACTCTCTTGGATTACAATTCCTTATAGGGAGATGAAATACTCAACATTTTGAGTCAAGGTTATTCTAAGCTAGAGAACATTGCCATAATATTAAGATACACTGGAGTTAGAAAATAACTCTGAAAAAAAAATCAACTCTTAGGAAAGGAAGAACATAACCCTGCCAATATAAAGCACTTAGTAATGAGAATGAGTCAGAACCTTGGAACATGACTAGCACCCGGAAGTAGTGAATCATATATCACTGCATTCACAGCATTTAAAAAGTATAGCCAGGCCTACACTTTCAGTGTTTGAGAAATTCCTTTTGTTCCTTTTTCCTTTGTCTCCAGCTGTATTTTTTGCACATGCTGGGGAGTCATAGTAAACATTAGAGTGTTTATGTGTCTTTAAATTCCCATTTACGTTTTGGGATTTTAAGGTTACGTTTTATGTTTTACGATAATCGAATGCAGGAAATAGATGTGGGGTCTTCATTGGTTTTGGAGTTCCAAAAAAATGCACACTGGCCTCTGTTTTTACATCTTTACAAAATGACAGGAATCGAGGCCACAGAGCTCAGTGGTTCAGGACGCTGGTTGTAGCTCTGGGTGCCTGGGATCCGGTTCTGAGCCCCCACTCACTGGTCTCAGAGCCCTGGGAAGTTCGGTTCCAGACTCTTGGCCATAAAGTGGGGTGATATTCCCACCTCACACGCTTGTTCTGAGACTGAAATGCATTCCTGCTTGTTACGTGGCAGAGCCTGCCGCAGAGTTAGGAACGAAGTAGCCACCTTCACAGTCTCTCTGAACATCTAAAGATTCACTTGGCTGTAACTCACGCAAATAATACACATACTCTTCTGGCTTTGATTCTCTGCAGTGAGTGAATTAGGAAGAGAATATAATGGATTCATCAAATGATCATCTCTTTAGCTTTTTATATTTGCAAAGATAAGCCTCATTAACCAGGGTATTTCTTATCAGTTTTTTTCCAGTACTCTTTCAACTGTTCATTTGTTGATTTTCAGGCTCTAGATAATCGCTTCTGGCTATTTCAAGACCACAATCAGTACACCATTATTGCGGGCAAAAGAAAGGGAAAGGAGTAAAAATGGAAAAGTATTTGTTTTGTTTCCTGCTAGCTACTCAGATTGGTAAGAAAAGAAGACGGAACTACAAGCATCAATAACAGTGGGAGTAGTCTTTGAGTTTACTTGAAACAGTGAAATGCAATTAAAATCCTTGATCTTTCCCAGGGGAAGGTGAATCCCTGAGGGAGGGTCCACAGAGGCTCATCTAGGTCTGGACTTGGCACTGCATTGTTCAATGGTCCTTAGAGAAACACGAAGTCTCTGTTTTCCACCCAGAAATGTCTCACTGACCCATCGATCACTCACTGCCTACCTAAGGGAATGACCAAGGTTGAGGTGTCTCCACCTTCCCCCTTGGAAGGAAGGAGCCCAGAGGGTGTCGTGGTATTTCCCCAAGATGGAAGGAAGGCTCTGCGCAGGTCCCTCAGCCAGTGTTGGGAGAGGAAGATGCCCGGGGTCCCCGAAGTGGTACCAGCCACCCTGTTGCCAAATCATGCTTCTGCCAGGATAAAGAGCTTGTGTTCTATCAACTTTGGCCATCTCGCTGTTGCTAAGTCGCAGCATAGAGAAATTCACTGGGTCTGTTTTGAGGGTGAGTTTTATCAGCAGTGTGGAACATTTGCTGGCTCATCTATAGAACTGGAAAATTTCCCCCTCACAAATCCCTTGAGAAGAGGAGTGAGCAGAGGTACTTGTGTGTGGCAATGAGTGGCATTAGGAGAAAAGCCATCTGGGTGCACCCCCAGTGTGCAGAGCGTCTTGTCATCCCTCCCCTCAAATGAAGTAAGGGTTGTAGGCCCATGGGGAAAACTGCTATATTTTTGTCAAATTAAAAGTGGCTCCCAGTGGGTCTAAAAGAAGACTGAGCTGGGTGCGTTGAGGCCTTCTGGCTAACACGAGGAGGCGAACGTTGTGTGCATGAATCTGGTCACCCCTCTGCACCCCTCTGTGTGGCGCACGGGAGAGGGTCTGTCCCATCGTCCACAGCTATGTGGAAAGGAATGGACACGAATGAATGGGAATGTCCATGATTCCCGGACCCCTTTCACGGTCTATAGTAGTCATGTTCAACATTGGCCTCTTCTGTGTGTTAATTGCTGATAGTTAGATTTGTCCCTGTCACCTTCCATGCTGCAGGCTGGGCAGTGGGGGGAGGGAGCGGGCTCTGCATTGGTACATTACTTCAGGGTTGGAGGGAAGGGCTGTACCAATCCTCCTTAAATCTAATAGCCCAAGGGATTTGGGGAAGGGGTGGCCGACATTAGCGCCATGACGCTAACGCATTCCCTTAATGATGGTCTTTGTTTCCCCTGAGTTTTGAAATCACTCTTTGCAACATGTTAACTGCCTTCCTTTGAAGTAATGAAGTGAAAAGTTTTGTATTTTCCCACGTTCAGCCATCAAGGAGGCAGAAAGAGTGAGCTCCGTGACAAAGAGACCCAAGGAGGGGTGGAGATCGGTAAGGAGAGAGTTAGGGGTGTTCTTCAGGCAAACGGCTTTCCACCTCACTCCTTCTTGAACTTTGTACCGCTGAGGCCAGGAGTCTTAGTGGTTCCCATACTTGGGTCTTAGTAGCTACTGACAGTATTACGTATGCTAGTATTACTAACACTGAGAGTAGTACTAATTACTAGCTGCATTCGGTAGTTGCCAGTAGGCATGATACCTGTTTTGAGATGTAACAAAGGAGGTCCCTAGAAAAATGGGTTTTTGTTCAAAGGTGTGTCTGAGGGTTTCTCACCAAAAACCACCAGCGGAAGCTCATGCCAGACGTCGGTGAGCCGGTAGACCAGGAATGGCGTGATGATACCCCCGATGTCACACAGGGAGGAGCAGACGAGGACACCAAGATTCCTGAAATGCAGGGAACTGCTTTAACTTCCAGCTTCTCACGGTACAATACTTATCCCCTACCCCACCCAAATAAATCCTTCCCCGAGTCACTGAAACGTCTGCAAACTGAAAAAAAACGGCGTTCACGTTGTTTTCAACACACACAAATGGTGTATGAGTCATAATTCCACTCATATTCTTGTTGTACTTGTTTTATATTAGCTTTTTGGAGGATTTTTAATGGGGGGGCAATTTTCACTTTTTACTTTGGTCATCTGTCTTCCCTGCAGTGTTCTATGTATGGTCTTGTTCGTATGGTTTCCTTTATTTATTTATTTATTTATTTATTTATTTGAGAGAGAGTGAATTAAAGAGAGAAAGAGACAGAATGAGCTGGGGGGAGGGAGGGCCCGAGGGAGAGGGAGAAGCAGGGTCCCCGCCAAGCAAGGAGCCCGATGCAGGACTTGATCCCAGGACCAAGGGATCATGACCTGAGCAGAAGGCAGACACCTAACCGACTGAGCCACCAAGGCGCTCCCCTGTTCATACTGTTTCTGATCACTCTGTCCCATGGCCATTTGGTAATCCCTCTCTTGTAATCAGTGTCTTCTGTTCTCACTACACAGTGACTGTATTTCACCCCAGCCTGTAACTGTGAGATGTGGTCTGGCTACTGCCTTTAAATGTTCTTATCCTCTCTTGTCCTGTGGTTTGTTTTGGTTTTTGGTTTTTCTTGCCCCATGTTTTGAAAAGGAAGGTGCCCTCTGCTGGTGCTTGTGGTAGTTCTAGCCCATAAGCAAATGTCCCACCCACCCTCTTCATGGTGAGGAAAACGTGCTCACCTGATGAATGTGGGGTACAGCTCCGCATTGACCAGGCAAACCATTTCATAGGCCATTGTAATCCCCATTCTACCCAAGCACGCAGCTGTGACTCTTAGCCACTGGAGATCTGTGGGCAAAAACGCACCACTTACATTGCACATACTCCCTGGTCTGCACAGTGCTCCAGAGGGGAAAGTCCACATTCCAGAATGGGATGAGAATGCAACATTCTTCTTCTCTAAACTCAAGACTTCAGAGCAAAATTTCCCATGTTTGTTAGTTTTAACCTTAGGCATGATTCTAACACTCTCTTTAGAACTCAGTCATTAATGACAACAGGATTGTACCAAAGCTGGGCCAACTCTAGTTTATACGGGCCACCCAAAAGAAACAGCAAAATATGGGCATATTTTAAATAACTGCTAATGACTAAAGGGTTCAAAGAAAGCTTCATGTTGCCAATAGGATTCTCTTGTACAGGTTTTTCTCCTCCTCATTGAGAAAGCATTTGAAAAGGAAAGAAAGGAACTGAATAATTGTGCATTGGTTGCATTTACCTAAGCTTTCTTATTTGTTCTGCAGGATGATGCAGGGAACTCAAGGGAGTTGCCTAAATAGTATCTGGAAAATGCTGGAATAAGACTTCAAGCCTGGGCCTGCTCTACCCCAAAGCCCATGCTCTCTGTTCTGGGCCAGCTCCATGGCCTATGGCATGTGTCCTCTTAGTCTCTTGTTATAGTACATTAGAGAACAATCAGGTGTGATTATTATTGTCTGTTGCAGCAGACAAGCCTTGGGTACAATTCTTCTTAAAGACAGGGTGGCCATATGGGTTTGCTCAGGAAGGTCCCAGATACTGTGTTCATTCTTTCCAAATTGACTTGGATGATAAATTACATCATTTTACTATCAGAGGGTTGTGACATCCCCTCTTCGTGCAGCCTTGGCAGACAAGAGCCCGGCATGGCTCGACACTTACCCTCAGGGATGAAAACCGAGGTGAGGCAGGCTGCTCCTGCCACCAAATTTGATGCAGCCCACGGAAACCGACGACCTATACGGTCAATGGTGAGGATGATGATGAGGGCGGCTGGGAATTCCACCAGGGCAGAGTAGAAGAAATCCAAGTAGATATTGCTCCCCGCAAGGCCCATGTGCATGATGAGGCCTTGGTAGAGAACAGAGCTCGTGAACCTGAGCAAAGAGGAGAAGCTCAGGTCAAGCCAAGCACCAGAAGCAAGTCATCAAAAAGGAGAGGCTTCTGGAAAAAGAAGAGTTGATCGTGGGTCATCTTTCTTTGTCATCTTCTTATTGCTTTTCCCTTCATTCTACTGCTTTTCCATGATCTGAACCACGGCGGTGGCTGACTGTGACCCCAGAACCAGGAAAGGAGAAGAAAGGATTGTGCTCCCTGGCCAAATTGAAAAGTAGAAAGAAATGTCTTTCTAGGGTGACTTATTTGCTAAAACTGTATCAGGTTATTAGTGATTGTTAATTATTTCTCTCTTTGTGATCCTCTAATGGAATTGGGATCAAAGGGATTGACTACTTAATTCAAATTTTAGGAAACCAGAGACCCAAATGGGTACAGCCTCCCTTCCTGCTGATTTCTCTTCTGACACAATATAGACAACATTTTGACGATGTTTTTTCGTTATGTTTTGTTGACCAGAAGTTATCTGCAATGGCAAATAAGAGGATGCTTGGCAACAGTCACAACTATTCAGAAAAGGAAAGAAGGGTATGAAGCCAAATTTCCCGGCTGTATTTTACAGGTAGTATTTTCAAGGTTGCTAAATGAGTTCCTGAGGAGCCTTGCTTCTGTCCGTGATTCCAAATCTTCGCGTGGCTGGCGTGAACCCCGGGACACACTGAAAGGAAAGTGAGCTGCACTAAGGAAGGCTCAGTGCAGGGTGAATGGCTCACAGCTCCAGGAGCAGCCTGCAGACTGTGGAAACAATCGTACGTCAGCCACCGGACTGTGGAGCCAGTGGATTATTCCTTGTGGTTTATTCTCCTTCATAAGTTTATTTCTTTCTCCAATAGACAAGAAAGGGAAAAGACCCTTCCCTTGCTAGCCCCATATAATAAGGAGAGATCTATACTCATCATAGGTATAGAACCGGTAGTTCTCAGGTTGGGCTATATGTCAGACTCACCTGGAGAATATTAAAATATTGGTGCCTAGACTTTCCCTGGGCCAATTGCATCAGTATTTTCTGGGGCCAGGGTGGGGGTCCTGGCGTTGTTATTTTATAATCTCACAGGACGTTTTAAGGCAATGCCAAGGTTGAGGACATACTTATCTATGCTTTGAGACTGACTTCAAACACCTGCCTGAAAAAATGGTATCAGAAAACGCGGCTATAAATGAGTCCCCTTGCTGCCCACTGTCCATACTTATACCGGAGCTAGGCTGTGACAGTGCTGTCTTGGTCCCTCCCCTAATGTGGATGACGGGGATAAAAAAAAAAAAACCGTGGAGGGATTTTAAAGTGAAAAACATTCCTTACCAATTGTACATCAAGATCAAAGTGTGTTTCCTTATCTGCGGGGTTCTGACCAAGTCAAGAAATGAAGGATTCAGCTTCTCGTCAACTTCCTCTTCAGGTCTGAGGCTCTAGGAACGGAAACAGGAGGAACAGCTTTGTGTGGTGAAAGACAGTGTCCCCAGGTAAGACAGGGAATCCCGACAGTACCTGACACCTGCTGAGGGCTTCTAACGAGCCTTTCACACTTACTAGCTCATTTAACCTTGGCTATCCGGGTAGTTCGGTTCCATCTTTTTCATCCCCTTTCACAGAAGGGGAAGCTGGGCTAGGGGGAGTTAGGTCACTCATGGGCATATGTCCAGTGGCACTGAAGGTCAAGCACAGGGGAGCAGAAGAAGGCCCAGCCCAGGGGCCCTGAGGGCTGGGGGCACCGGGCATGCTCCCTGCCGGACCAGGTGCGGCCCATCGCTCAGGAGGCTCTGCTCTGGGACCTTGGGACTTGGAGCAGCTCGGTATTGCCTGGAACTTGTTGGAATGAAAGACCCAGGGCCCCTGTCCAGACACGTTGAACTGGAATCTGCATTTCGGCAAGGTCCCCAGGGGCATCCTGGGCACAGGTATTAATTAACGTTGGGGAAGCCCTGCGCTAGAAGAGAACAGTAGGTGGTGGAGTTGAGATACAATCTCCAGGGCTCAGGAAGCAGAACCTTTGCAAAAACCACTTCTTCCTACAGCCACACAGGAGGGTGTCTGCAAGCCCGAGGAGCAGGGGAAGAACCTCCTGCAGACTCACCGCTCTCATGTGAATAAACTCTGCACTTTGGCCAGACTGTGACTCACGTGTGCTTTAGTCCCTGACCAATTTCTGAAAGGATCTGAAACTTAAGAATCAGGGCTATGCTGGTTATCCTTGGAAAAGGGGATCTACCCCAACCACCCAGAAACCGGAGAGGAAGTGAAAAAAAAAAAGGCCTCCGAGTCCCCAAATGCTCACTCTAAAGTCATGTAAATCATAAATGCTTACAGGTAACCGATCTTAGATCCTGGAGCAGAGACGATTACTCTTATTTTTTTTTTTTTAAAGATTTTTGTTTATTTATTTGAGAGAGAGAGAACGAGAGAGAGAGCACATGAGAGGGGGGAGGGTCAGAGGGAGAAGCAGGCTCC